CGAAATGAAGGCAGAAATAAAGAAGTTCTTCAAAACCAATGAGAACGAAGACACAACGTGCCAGAACCTCTGGGACACATTTAAAGCAGTCTCTAGAGGAAAGTATATAGCAATAAGTGCCCATATGAGGAGAATTGAGAGATCCAAAATTGACACCCTATCGTCAAAATTGAAAGAGCTGGAGGAGCAAGATCAACAAAACTCAAAACCCAGCAGAAGACAAGAAATAACTAAGATCAGAGCTGAGCTGAAGGAGATTGAGACACGAAAATCCCTTCAAAAAATCAATAAATCCAAGAGCTGGTTTTTTGAAAAGATCAACAAAATAGACAGACCACTAGCCAGATTGATTAAAAATAAAAGAGAGAACAACCAAATAGATGCAATAAAAAATGATAAAGGGGAAATCACCACAGATTCCACAGAAATTCAAACCATCATCAGAGAATATTACAAACAACTCTATGCGCATAAACTAGTAAACCTGGAAGAAATGGACAAATTCCTGGATTCCTGTGTCCTCCCAAGCCTAAACCAGGAGGAAGCTGAAACTATGAATAGACCAATAACAAGGTCTGAAGTTGAGGCAGCAATTAAGAGCCTACCACACAAAAAAAGCCCAGGTCCAGACGGGTTCACAGCCGAATTCTACCAGACACACAAGGAAGTGCTGGCACCATTTCTTCTAAAACTATTTCAAACAATCCAAAAAGAGGGAATCCTTCCCAAATCATTTTATGAGACCAACATAATTCTGATGCCAAAACCCGGCAGAGACCCAACAAGAAAAGAAAACTTCAGGCCAATGTCCATGATGAACATAGATGCAAAAATCTTCAATAAAATATTGGCAAGCCAATTGCAACAGCAAATCAGAAAACTTATTCATCATGATCAAGTAGGATTCATCCCGGGGATGCAAGCCTGGTTCAACATATGCAAGTCTATCAACGTAATTCACCACATAAACAGAACCAAAAACAAAAACCACGTGATTATCTCAATTGACGCAGAGAAGGCATTTGACAAAATTCAACAGCCCTTATGCTAAAAACCCTCAATAAACTCGGTATCGATGGAACGTATATCAAAGTAATAAAAGCTATTTATGACAAACCAACAGCCAATATCATACTGAATGGGCAAAAACTGGAAGCATTCCCTTTGAAATGTGGCACTAGACAAGGATGCCCTCTCTCACCACTCCTATTCAATATAGTACTGGAAGTTCTAGCCAGAGCAATCAGGCAAGAAAAAGAAATAAAGGGTATTCAAATAGGAAAGGTGGAAGCCAAATTGTCTCTATTTGCAGACGACATGATAGTATACCTAGAAGACCCCATCGCCTCAGCCCAAAAACTCCTGAAACTGATAAGCAACTTCAGCAAAGTCTCAGGATATAAAATCAATGTGCAAAAATCACAAGCATTCGTCTACACCAATAACAGACTTAAAGAAAGCCAAATCAAGAGTGAACTGCCATTCGCAATTGCTACAAAAAGAATAAAATACCTTGGAATACAACTCACAAGGAACGTAAGGGACCTCTTCAAGGAGAACTACAAACCACTGCTCAACGAAATCAGAGAGGACACAAACAGATGGAGAAACATTCCATGTTCATGGTTAGGAAGAATTAATATCGTGAAAATGGCTATACTGCCCAAAGTAATTTACAGAATCAACGCTATCCCCATCAAGCTACCATTGTCTTTCTTCACAGAACTGGAAAAAACCACCATGAACTTCATATGGAACCAAAAGAGAGCCCGCATAGCCAAGTCAATTCTAAGCAAAAAGAACACAGCTGGGGGCATCACACTACCGGATTTCAAACTATACTACAAGGCTACAGTAATCAAAACAGCATGGTACTGGTACCAAAACAGAGATATAGACCAATGGAACAAAACAGAGGCACCGGAGGCAACACAACATACATACAACTATACAATCTTTGATAAACCTGACAAAAACAAGCAATGGGGCAAGGATTCCATGTTTAACAAATGGTGTTGGGAAAACTGGCTAGCCATGTGCAGAAAGCAGAAACTGGACCCCTTCCTGACACCTTACACTAAAATTAACTCCAGATGGATTAAAGACTTAAACATAAGACCTGGCACCATAAAAACCCTAGAAGGAAATCTAGGCAAAACTATCCAGGACATAGGAGTAGGCAAGGACTTCATGAACAAAACACCAAGAGCATTGGCAACAAAAGCCAAAATAGACAAATGGGACCTAATGAAACTCCACAGCCTCTGCACGGCAAAAGAAACAGTCACTAGAGTGGATCGGCAACCAACAGAATGGGAAAAAATTTTCGCAGTCTACCCATCTGACAAAGGGCTGATATCCAGAATTTACAAACAACTCAAGCAGATTTACAGGAAAAAAACAAACAAGCCCATTCAAAAGTGGGCAAAGGATATGAACAGATACTTTACGAAAGAAGACATATATGAGGCCAACAATCATATGAAAAAATGCTCATCGTCACTGGTCATCAGAGAGATGCAAATGAAAACCACATTGAGATACCATCTCACGCCAGTTAGAATGGCGATCATTAAAAAATCTGGAGACAACAGATGCTGGAGAGGATGTGGAGAAAAAGGAACACTTTTACACTGTTGGTGGGAGTGTAAATTAGTTCAACCATTGTGGAAGACGGTGTGGCGATTCCTCAAGGCCTTAGAAATAGAAATTCCATTTGACCCAGCAATCCCATTACTGGGTATATATCCAAAAGACTATAAATCGTTCTACTATAAGGACACATGTACACGAATGTTCATTGCAGCACTGTTTACAATAGCAAAGACCTGGAATCAACCCAAATGCCCATTGATAATAGACTGGATTGGAAAAATGTGGCACATATACACCATGGAATATTATGCAGCAATCAGAAATGATGAGTTCGTGTCGTTTGTAGGGACATGGATGAATCTGGAAAACATCATCCTCAGCAAACTGACACAAGAACAGAAAATGAAACACCGCATATTCTCACTCATAGGTGGGTGATGAAAAATGAGAACACATGGACACAGAAAGGGGAGTACTAAACACTGGGGTCTATTGGGGGGAAAAGGGGAGGGCCAGTGGGAGGGGGAGGTGGGGAGGGATAGCCTGGGGAGAAATGCCAAATGTGGGTGAAGGGGAGAAGAAAAGCAAAGCACACTGCCATGTGTGTACCTACGCAACTGTCTTGCATGCTCTGCTCATGTACCCCAAAACCTATAATCCAATAAAAAATTAAAAAAAAAATTCTGTTTTAGAACTGATTTGTGGGTTATTTTGCATCCCATGAGTTACTGTATGTTGTGTTTCTATTTTCTTTTATCTCAATATACTTTCTGATTTCCCTTTTCTTTTTCTATTTGACACGTTGGTTGTCAAGGAATATGTTATTTTTGTGAGATTCAAATTTCTCTTTGGCTATTGATTTGTAGTTTTATTAAATTGTAATTTTAAAAGGTGAAACATCGGGACATGGAAGCTCATGTCTGTAATCCAAGCACTTTGAGAAGCCAAGGCAGGTGGATTATCTGAGGTCAGGAGTTTCAGACCAGTCTGACCAACATAACGAAACCGCATCTTTACTGAAACTACAAAATTAACTTGGTGTGGTAGTGTGTGCGTGTAATTTTACCTACTTGGGAGGTTGAGGCAGGAAAATCACTTAAACCTGGGAGGTGAAGGTTGAAGTGAGCTGAGATCTCGCCCTTGCACTCCATCCTGGGTGATAGAGTGAGACTTCATCTCAAAACAAACAAAAAAAAGTTGATATAATTTTAATATTTTTAAGCACAGCACATTCTATGCATTCATTATGTAATTCCCACATGCAGACCACTGTCCCTTATAGAGTGGAAGAAAAGAAGGCCGTGCTCCCAAAAATTACTCGGACAGCTAAGATCAAGGAACATACCCAAGCTAGATGAGATATCAAATATTTCTAAACAGAATTATATTATATGATAAAAATATTAAATTATTCTTACATGACTGATAGTTCACTTGTTATGACAACAAGCCCACTGTTATTTCATACCATAGCTAACTCATACCTTGTAATATGTCATAGGTAAGCAAAAGTCAACTAAATTACTCATTCAAACACAGTAAACTAATGAATTATCAATCTGTTTCTTTTTATTTTGGCAATCAGTGTTTTTTAAATCTTTAGGAAAGTAAGTAGGAAGAAAAATGAAGATGATATTCAGAAAAGACTTTTAGTTGCAGATTCAACACCTACAAATCTAACTTCAAAAAACAACACTGAGACATGCTTCTCCAAATGTCAATCAGGACCCCTAATAAGTGGCATCCACTGAGTGCCTACAAGAAATACAGAATTTCAGGCTCACCCCAACTCAGGAATTACAATCTGGCTTTTAACAAGAATCCTAAGTAGAGGAAATACACATAAATTTGAGGACAGCCTGGAGCCTCTCAAGGGGTCATGAGGATGGGGCGGCTGGGTGCCTACAGCTTTAGATATGCCACAGGACGAAAGGATCCTGGAGAAAACTGATTGTAGGTGTGTGTTGCACCCTTCTTGTTTCTCGAGGAGGGACACACCTCGGAATGATTAGGACACCTGCAGGTGGCAGACAGACCCCACTACGCCGAGGCTTTTTGAAGAACCAGGAAAACGAAGAATGCCGAGCGCCGCAGCCCCAAACTGAGCCAAACGTTGACCGACATCACAAGGTAAGCAGACTACAGAGAAACCGCGCTGGAGTGCACTGGCCACACTTGTGTCCGTGTGTCACACACACACACACAAACACACGCACACACTCATCAACACACTCAGAAAGATACATGCATACACACACACTCACACTCAGAAAGACACACGGAGACATCCAACGCTAACACGGAAACACACACTGCCAGGTAGCTCCTGAGGCTAGGGGGTTCTGCTCTCTGCCTGGAAGCCCCTCGGGGACAGAGCAGCCCCGCCACTGGCAGGCAGGCCTTACCTGGAAATCCCAGCCACGAGGGCTTTCAACGAGAGGCACCCTCACACTGTTTGGGCAGGTCTGCAGCAACTTGGTGATTCCTGGGGAGCGCCGTGGACATCCCTGAAGCCCCGACAGATCTTTCTTCTGCCTGGCTCGGCCTGCCGGATTCCTAAAATCGCAGGACTCAGCGATGATCGCGCGGAGAAAGAGTCCGTTGCCCGATGCTGAGGCACTGCCACAGAGGACCGCTGCTTTGGGAAGCCACTGTGATCGTTCCCCAGGCAACTGGTGGCTGTTACTGTGACGCGAGTCCAGGCTCAGCGCTGGCGCTTGTGACAGGCCGCCTGCGCATGCGCTTTCGTCTGCCCAGCTGGGGAGCCGCGATGCTGGCGCTGTCCAGCTGCTGCCGCACAGGTACAAGGTGGAGACGGTGGCAGGGGCGGCGCCTGGAAAAAGGCTGCGTGCCACAAACAGCATAGGCCCCTGTCAGTCCTGACCTCAGTACCTCGTTGCAACCACTCTTCGGTTCCGGTCGGGGGAAGGAGGAGAGCGCTTCAGGCCAGGAAGCGGGCACTATGGGTGTTACCAGAACGTTACCCGGCCCCATAAGCTGACTGCCACTCTTCGACCTGGGCCACCCACCAAGGGGCCCTGCCTTTATCTCCAAGCCCAGGGACTCCTGCATCTCACCACTACTGTCTCTTCATGGAGGGAACAACCACAAAGAGGCAAGCCCTCTGTGCAGCAGAGGTGTTGACACCTGAAACTGGCTTCCCATGGGGGTCGATCATGTGTAGAGGGTGTTTCCAAAGCTTTTTTTGCATAACACTTGCATGACCTACAGCAAAAACACTTCAATCAAACTCAAATCAAACAGATACTCAGACACACACACACACACACATGCACACACACACACACACACACACACACACACCAGTCCTGATGAATACTAATATGTTTCATACTTTGTCAAAAAGACCTCAATCAATCTGGTATTTTAAAGACAGTAAGACACAGGAGATACTCATATATATTTAAATAATTAATAAGAGGATCACAAGCTCTTTATGTTTTTAACTACTGATTCAAATTAGTCATCCTCAACCCCATCCTTAACCTGCTGCAAATATTCTTGAGTTAAATTCTTCTTCATTATAGAAGATTGTTATTGTTTTCTTTATTTTTGTGTGTCATTTACACTGTTGTATTAGACTCATGCTTGGGGAGTCATTTTTGCCATACTGCAATAGTTGTACTGCAGTCCGAATTATTCATGTGTATCTCTTGAACATGGAACTACTTAGTACATTACCCTATATTTTGGGGAACTTAACTTTCAGCATAGCTCCCAAGACATTCTACATAAACTAAGTCTGAAATATTAGCCAATTCCTTACAACTTTTCTAGATTTATTGAAGAATTTTCTCTTTCTCTACTACAAATTTTACTCGATCGTTCTCGCTGCTTTTATGAAAAAACTCAAAATTTAAGACTTCATGCCATCGTTTGAGAAATTACAAGTGACATTCGCAATCATGAAAATAGATGACATGATTTGGAATAAATATTTAAAAGCCTAACAAATACTAATATGTTTATTTAATCAAAATGTCTTTGTTCTTTTAAAATCAATATATAAGTTTAAAATTAAAATTTAATTTTTCAAGTAAATATTTAAAAACCTGACAACACTCAAATCTTTGTTTTATCAATATGTTTATTATTTCAGAAATATTGAATTTGTGTGTCCTCCGGTAATTTAATGAGGCTTTACCAGAAGATAATTTTTTCCAGAAATTGGAACTTTTTACCTTACAAATTTTTTGTAACAATTGGAAGGACCTTTGTGCCACTGTCTTTGAGGGTTTGATGCCTGTTTTTAATTAGCTTTTTGTTCACCCCTTCACTGGCCCACCCCACTCAGAGCTTTCATCAATTTCTTCTGGACTGTTAAGAAGAGCCTACGTGATTAATCAGGTGAGATTCCTGATCAGCATTAGGACTGATTAAAAGAAAACAATTACCAGATGAAACAAAGAAAGGAAAAGGGAACAAAAAAAGCTCTTCCTGGGCCATCTTCTCACTTTTCTTTATGTCACCAGAGAGAAGCATTTAACCCAAATTTCAACATTTAGAATAGGCTAAGGGAGTGTAGAAACATTATTGTTTTGACATAAAACATCATAACCTTAGCAAAAAGTGCTTAGATCAAATTGGTTTATGGCCTCTAAGGAGAGACTGTTGTCCAACAACTCTTCTCCAGAAAAAAGCAATTTTCTGTGTCAGATTATCACTCTTATTTGCATCTACATTCAGAGTATAACCATGCGTGGGAGCTTAATAAGTGGATGAAATCTGTTTCTGAAGTACTGTTTCTGATAAAGAATATTTTAAGATAGGTCTTATTGTGAAATTATTTCCACTTTTGTTCTGTGATGAGAATATAATAGACATAGACAGTTAATCCCTAAAGACAAGGTTTTAGCATCCAATTTACCTGACAAGATTTTCCTTGTCCCCAAGTTTCTTGCAAAGTTGCATATGCAATTCTTCCATCTACAGCCTTGGGCTTCTTTTGCAACACAGACTCCCTTTGTCTTCTCTCACCAGAACCTCTTTCCAAACACATAAGGAATAATAAAATGAAACATAACCAGTCATAATCAGGATGTGATGGAAACGACTTTATGCAAACACCTTACTCAAATTTAACACTGTGTAAAGGTCTTAACATATTCCAACCTCATGTTTTTCTTTCATGAGAGAGAAGCCTTGTTTCCTCCGCTGATACTCTGAAGAAAAATATATACATAACAAATGTTGAATTAATGATAAAAATAAATTTCATATTTTCAACATTCTTGCTTAAGTTAGTTCCTTGAAGACTTAGCTATGTCTAATTAGTACAGTATAAGACTACTGCATTTCATTATCATTTTTGCCACAGAAATTTAAAAGTAACACGTTCAATATACTCTAAAGTACTTCACCTGTAAATCACCATATATCTGATGGAATAAATGAATTCTCGAAAATTATTTTAAAGAATTATAGCAACATTTCTTAGTTATCCATAATTATGATTTACTCAGAGTTTCAGGTTTTATAACTTATCACAAATGACTTCTACAGCTGAAATGCTCAACCTGGGTTAACTACACACATCATTTGCCCACATGTATGCATGTGCATTCATGTTTACGTAAACAAATAATTTCTAAGCAACTGAAAACAGCAGAAGGAAAAGGTCTCACACATCTAAAAACCTAGAAAGTGTAAAACCAACTAAAATGTCTTATAAAAGATCATTTAAAACTAAATTCATTGAAAATTCACATCCCGTTGATCAGAATACATCTACCATTTCAAAGCACATATATAAGCATGTCAAAGAAATCTAAGTACATAAGTATTTGCAGCCAATAAGTTAGAAACCTCCACCAAGCACAGCACATTCTATGCGTAGATTGTGTAATTCCCACATGCAGATGATGGTCCCTTAGAGAGTGGCAGAAAAGGAGGCCCTGCTCCCAAAAATTACTCGGACAACTGAGATCAAAAAATATTCCCAAGCTAAATTACATACCAAATATTTCTAAACAGAATGACATTAAACTACAAATATATTAAATTTTTCTTATATGACTGATAGTTCACTTGTTTATGATGCCAAGCCCACTGTTGTTTCATACCATGGCTGACTCATACCTTGTAATCTGTCCTTAGGTAACCAAGAGTCAACTAAATTAGTCATTCAAACACAGTCAATTTATGAATTATCAATCTGTTTCCCTTTATTTTGGCAATCAGTGTGTTTTAATTTTTTTAGGAAAGTAACTAGGAAGAAAAATGAAGATGATATGCTGAAAAGACTTTTAAATGCAAACTCGACACCTACGATTCTTAGTTCAAGAGAACAATACTGAGACTTGCTCCCCCAAATGTTAATCAGGACCCCTAATCAGTGGCATCCACTGAGTGCCTACAAGAAATACCGAATTTCAGGCTCACCCCAACTCAGGAATAACAATCTGGCTTTTAACAAGAATCCTAAGTAGAGGAAATACACATAAGTTTAAGGACAGCACTGGAGCCCCTGAAGGGGTCATGAGGATGGAACGGTTGGGTCCCTCCAACCTTAGATGTGCCACAGGACCAAGGGCTGCTGGAGGAAATTGATTGTAGGCATGTTGCCCCCGTCGTTCTTCTTGAGGAGTTTCTCGAAAAGTGACCCAACCTCGGGTTGAACAGGTGATTAGGACACCTGCAGGTGGCAGCCAGGCCCCACTACGCCTAGGCTTTTTGAAGCACCAGGAAAACGAAGAATGCGGGGCGCTGCAGCCCCAAACTGAGCCAAACGCTGACCGACAGCACAAGGTAAGCAGACTACAGAGAAACCGCGCTGGAGTGCACTGGCCACACTCGTGTCAACGTGTCCCACCCGTTTCGCAAACGATGGCATGAAGTCTTAAATTTTGAGTTTTTTCATAAAAGCAGTGAGAAAGATCGAGTAAAATTTATAGTAGAGAACGAAAAAATTTTTCAATAAATTTAGAAAAGTTGTAAAAAATTGGCTATTTCAGACTTAGTTTATGTAGAATGTCTTCGGAGCTATGCTAAAAGTTAAGTTCCCCAAAATATAGGGTAAAGTACTAAGTAATTCCATGTTCAGGAGATACACATGAATAATTCGGACTGCAGTACAACTATTGCAGTATGGCAAAAATGACTCCCCAAGCATGAGTCTAATACAACAGTGTAAATAACACAACAAAAATAAAGAAAACAATAACAATCTTCTATAATGAAGAAGAATTTAACTCAAGAATATTTGCGGCAGGTTAAGGAGGGGGTTGAGGATGACTAATTTGAATCAGTAGTTAAAAACATAAAGAGCTTGTGATCCTCTTATTAATTATTTAAATATATATGAGTATCTCCTGTGTCTTACTGTCTTTAAAATACCAGATTGATTGAGGTCTTTTTGACAAAGTATGAAACATATTAGTATTCATCAGGACTGGTGTGTGTGTGTGTGTGTGCGTGTGTGTGTGTGTCTGAGTATCTGTTTGATATGAGTTTGATTGAGGTGTTTTTGCTGTAGGTCATGCAAGTGTTATGAACACTGAACCTGTTGAGTGCCAGGGATTTCACGGAGCTAAAGAGACTGGGGTTTGCTGGGTGCATGCCAGGTGGCAGGTAGTGATACCCGTGTGGGGGCTGGGGCATCTTGCCCTTTTGCCGGCTCCTTCTGTCCTTTCAGGCAGGAATCCCTGAAGGAGGCTTGGACTCTGGCACAGTCCCTCTTCAGATGGCAGATGTCATCTTCCTGTGCTTGGCTTTCTTGGGGGCTCTCAGCGGCATGCCTGGGCTTCTGCCTCGGGCTTGATTTCACCAAAAAAAGCTTTGGAAACACCCTCTACACATGATCGACCCCCATGGGAAGCCAGTTTCAGGTGTCACCACCTCTGCTGCACACTGGGCTTGCCTCTTTGTGGTTGTTCCCTCCATGTCCAGACAGTAGTGGTGAGATGCAGGAGTCCCTGGGCTTGGAGATAAAGGCAGGGCCCCTTGGTCGGTGGCCCAGGTCGCAAAGTGGCAGTCAGCTCATTGGGCCGGGTAACGTTCTGGTAACACCCAAAGTGCCCGCTTCCAGGCCTGAAGCGCTCTCCTCCTCCCCCCGACCGGAACCGAAGAGTGGCTGCAACGAGGTACTGAGGTCAGGACTGTCAGGGGCCTATGCTGCT